ATCTGGATGTTCGTTTAATAGATTCATGTAAGTTGATAGATCTGGAGTTTGCACTGTTCTATTTATATTTTGGTATGTTAGAGCCGTATGAACCATAAGTATCGTGATTATTCCTAAAAAGAAAATAATTTATTTATAAATTATTGAAATCTTTTTAATTATCAGAAACGTACCTATCAACAAAAGAAGATATACACGAGTAGAGCGACGTTGCATATGAATAGTTGTTTCATCAGGTTGATCTATATGATTATGTTCTTTGAAAAGATTTAAATTGATAAACCATTCATAAATGGTATTAAATATCATGCTTATTTAACTACATTAAAAAATAATAGATTACCATAGAATTAAGTATTTTTTGTAAATTACGAATTCAAAAAGATATTAAACCATACGAGAAAATAATTAGATTACTCAACACATACTATCAAATTTTATCTCAAGAACAGATTAAAACTATTGAAGAGAAGTATTTGCAAGAATAGTAAAAAATAAACAAGATCAAAACAGGAGAAAGTTAAATGATAAGCATTTCTTCTGTGTATTGTCAATTTATATGTTGTATGATTAAAAATGAATTGTCAAAGTAATTAAACATTGTTATTTCTAGAGCATTTCTTATAATATAGATTTTCTCTTTGTAAAGAGTACTTCAATAAAATATAAAATATTTGAGGCATTAATAAATCATTATAGTCACGTCTGTAATAGTAAATTATTTAGAAGTTATAAAGTATTTTATTCCGTCAAAAAGTACATACAAATATTTTTTTCATTCATTATAAATCTGTTTAAAATATTATTTCTATCATTTTATGATTATTATTACGATGAGAAACCATCTTGAGAGTGTGGGTGTCTTTTCACTATCACTCAGTCATAGCCACACCCTTTGAATATTTAACTTTTTCTTTGTTTTGCACGGTTAAATTAGAATGAAAATCTATCAAACATATGCGTACACTAAACAGATTTGATGAAGAAATTTTCACCAGCAACAGTGAGTATTCAGTAGAGAAAAACTAAAGAGCTAAAGAATCAGTTTACACGAAGATTTATTTTTCTTGATACTTAACTAGTATTGTATCTACGTTTGTTTTACTTTCTATACAAGGTAAAATAATATACTTCATAAACTATACAAATGACGTAGATGTATAATTTAAAATGCAATAAACGCTATATCATGAACATCTCAAAAGTACTCATCTATAAAAACTGAAATTAATTTTTTTTTATTTATGTCTGCATCTATTTTTATTCTATAGTTGTTATTTCCGTTTTTTTTCTTTTCATGATATACATTACTCTTGAAAGCAAATAAGTACCGTAATATGTTATTTGATCATTGCTATAAAATAGACTTTTCACATATACGTCCAAGACCAGAATAGATTTCATTTGAAGTTAAAACTAGGGTATGGGTGTAGCAGTGAATACGATATAAATATGATACTCATACCCTCTCAACTACAACATCATGCACACTCATACCCGTAAAAAATCAACAGCAACGGATCAGTTCATGGTTTCTATCAAGTAGAATACAGATAGAGGATGTGATTTACGATACGACCAACAGAGATGAACTTCAAATAATTTTTGTTTTGCTCACAATAAATAAAATAATATGTATGTGTATGCATCATTTTTGATACGGATGTGCTGACAAAGAGGAAGTCAGGTGAATATAAGTAAGCGGATGAGGAGTAAATAATGAATAGACTTGCATTCATTCTATATTTCATATGTTTAGTAGTCATGTATGTATCTTGTCAAATGTGATAGAGATTTACTTCGAAGTACAATTAATGAATATTCATTTGTTATTCAAATATATAATGGTTGACTTCGACGCACTCACTTGTGCTTGATGTTCTATAACTGACCATATACAATAGTATAATTTCTCGAAAAGTCCGCAAGCTTTCTATAGTTAAGACGAGTATGTTCGAATATATGCTACCGTTAGCTTTTTTCGTAATAGATTTTTCCTACAGGCTGACTAGTTCTTATAGTATTCAATTGGAAATATAATTCAAATTTTATTCAATAGGTTTTATTCAAAAATATATCTAGTCAATTAAACAAAAAACAATTTGAAATTTCAGCTTATTAATGTTATTTATTTGTTCTCTGAATTCTTGATAGTCTGCCACACGATAAACAGTTTTTAGTAGTTGTGCAAAGTCGTGCTGTCAATCTACTGTTGATTTTTCGGCAAATTATTCAAAAACAAATGCATTAATCTTTTTGAAACCATTTGAATTATTTTTCTTGGGTGTTGTTGATAACTATTTTTCTATGTCATTTGTTATTATTAAGGATATATTTGAGCTACTTGCAGACGTAGCGCTTTCTTTGTCTCGACTTTTGTGATAACAGGAAATCTTAATGAACATTCGGCATCTCCAGCCTCTGCAATTGATTTTACTTGATTTAAGATAGAAATTTTCTCAATTTTATTGATAAGCTGAGCTAGTGGAAAATTTGTTTTCGTAAAAAGTATGCCGCTTAATGATCTTGCACTTCTGAATGTAGCTTCGCATGGTTGATTACTAAAAAGATGTATATTAAGTGCATAAGATGGTATATATCCGTTAGATACTAAAATTATTATGGATGATAACCAAACGGCTTTTGTTATAAAACATCTGTCTTTTTGTCTCTGAGAAAGATTTCGCTTGGTTCGATGATCACTCCTAAAAAATCATTAGTAAAATAAATAAATAAATAAAAACAACAGGTATTTTTTTCTTTACCATCACATTCTATATGAGAAAGTTACTATCCACCCAAAATATAAACGAGTATGAATATCAATATCTCGTTTAACATAAATAAGTATTGTTCATTTTAATAAATATAAATAAATATAAGTAGTAGAAGTATTTGTACCCTTTAATATATTTAGTGCACCATCATATGTAATTTTTAAGCACGATGAGTAGTTTTGTTGATCACAAAGAAAAGTGTCAGATTTCACTATTTTATGATCAATTTTTGAATAATTCTGAATAAAATAAAATAACTGGTTCACATCTTCTTTTTTTGGCTATCATTAGACCTGGTTGCTGTTTCTGATAACAGTCTGTTTCTCAATTTCGTGACCAGATGGGTGTCGTCCTCCATGCGGAGATATGGTTGAATTCATCTCATAAAAATAAAACTTTAATTTCATGTAATGTCGATATTAAATAAATTATTGTTTTTACTTAATAAATCTATATTTGGTGCATAAGTGTAAAAAATCTAACGATAATCGCATCGCGTTCATGTACTTAGGGTCGCAATCACTTGCAAAACCAATTAGATTAAGATTTTTTTGTTTACATTCATTATATAAATAATTCCACTTTTGAAGAACATCAATACGAGTGTATTTATTATTTGTCCCACTAACAGATATGATATATGGTCATGAATGAACTAATGGTGAGGTGTTTTTTAATGAAGGTTCAATCACATGTACATTTATAAGCTTGGATTTATCAAAATCTTGACACCATTCTCCTAATTCACAAAAACTATTGATTTTGAACTGATTGACAGATGGTAAACCATTTACTAACGAAGCAGAAAACTATCAGTTCAAATGTTATAAGAGGCTGAATTAATAACACCAGTTGAATCTTCCGACTATAAAAAGAAAAAAATTAATTAAATATTTCAATTACTAACAATGAAAAGTATAATCCAAAATTAACTCTAGTATATATCAAAACGGACTAACATCTGCTGTTTTTTCGATTCTATATGACTGCTATCTTTGTTTTCTAAATCAGTTTGTAGAATTTTAATAAATTCTAATTAATCTATAGCTATACTAGATAAAAAAAATCAGAATGGTTTTTTTCTCAAATGTTGCATTATTCCGTAATATTTACCAAAAAGACATGATTACGATCCATTAAATTTAAATAATCTTTAAGAGAATCAAATCGAAATTCACATTCACTCATGTGCAAATTTATCATTTGATTGTACATTTTTAATGTGGTGGTAGAAGGAAATGCACCTGGTAAATTCATTCGGATGAACTCATATGTATGTTGTCCAATTAATATGTGTTAAAAACTGATGCAAATTTGTTGACAATATGATTAAATTGATGATTGTTACTTGATCGTTTCATATTCTGTATAAGATTATTAATAAAAATATTCACAAATGATTTTGTATCGTTTTCTTTATTCATAGATGTTACATTACAGATAGAATGACTTGTTCTTTTTCTTGCATTAAATATTGCTGTTTGAGATGAATCAAAATTGCTCTGTACTATATTCCCAAGTCGACCAATTCGATGTAGGATTCTATCGGGTCCATTATCAGATTTATGAATCTGGGCAATGGATTGATGAACCATAAACAATCATTTTTTAATTTAAATAATTTTGATTTAATTAAAATTTACTGCAAGGACGGGTGTGGATATATATATCGAGTACTTACACATCCACACCCTCAACATGATCGCCGTCGTCGATCAGTGCATTGACTTACATCGCTGCACATGATGGTAAATGAAAATCCACAATGGTGAATAGATTCCGTATTTACTGTTCTCTTTCTACGTTTCGTCAATATAATATGAAATATTTTAAATTCTGCAAAGGCCTGAATAGACTTCCGGATAATGTGCAAAAATATTTCGTTCTACTAAACTTGAAATGGCCAAGTGCAAAAGTGCGAAACTTTGGAAATAGATATGTATGAAAATCAAATCCTAGTCAGGTCTTGCTGAAAGTAGTTTAGATGTTCTTTTTAGAATCATAATTTATTTGGATGATTTTATAAAAATGAATGTAAGTGAATCAAAGAAATTATGATAAGCATAATTAATGTAAAGTTACAGGATAAAATATAGTGAAAAAATGTACTGTGGTTACTTCGGATTTGTTGATGAATTATTTGGGATCGATTTGAATTCGGGCATTGATTGTTTGATTTGTTGAGATGACCATCTCAAACTTGGCGCATCAAAATATGTTACTGGTTCGTAATATGGATTACCAGAAGGATACCATGGAGTCACTTTTACACGAGTGTCTTCGGACTCAGTTAGAGTGTGTTCAGATTTTGGTGGTTTGTTTTCTTCCTTCGAGGACGCAGGTCGTTTGAATTTAACAACACCAGGTGGAGACCAAACAGGACGTGAATCTTTGCGTCCTTTTATAATAATCTTAGGCAGAGTATCCGGTGCTTTCGTAGGTGGGTCTTCCAGGACAAGAGATCTATGATACAATCCAGCTGGCTTCCAATGTTTACCGTCTGGATTGCTGGTTATAGTAGATCGAAGAAATTGACGAAGTGAAAGCGGTGGTTTACTTTGGACACAGAATTTCTGTTTTTCACTCTGTTCTAATGGATCCCAACGACGAGTTCTGCGAGACGTTGTCGTCGGAGATGTAGTATTATTTTTGATACTCATTGAAAATATTTCTAAAATAGTATTTAAATTTTTCAGTTAACTGAAAAAGTCGAAAGAAAGATCATATTAAACATAGATGTCTGAAGAAAAAGAGTATTACTACTGTTGCTATCTTCACATCTCTTTTTTGTTTTTAGAACTCAACACATTTTAGTTAAACTATTTAGAATGACGAGAAAAAAGACTTCAAAGTTCTAACTGCTCGTTAGAAGATGAGAATGCTTTAGAGTTTTCAGAATTTCAAAGTGGATTGACTAAATTCTACACTATCCTACCTTGAAGATTTTACAAGATTATTTTCAAAATAAAGTTGATGTGAATACTTGTTAATATCGGATGAGAACTGCTTTAATTTCGTTAAAAAAATGTGTTGTGTAAGATAGCACGATTTCTCACACAGCTTGCTTGTTAGGAAGTAGGAATGTGACGATGAATATGGTGTTATGTGTAAAATAAAAACGTTTTTTCTGTCATCTATTGACTTAGTCACCTTTACATCTCTGATAATTGATATAACGTTATCAGTGCATCATTCTTCTTTCTTACTTACGTCGCAACAGTCTTCACAAGCATTATTCATATGCACATAGTTATCTTCTCTCATGACGATTAAGAAAAGAGACGCCTACACTCTCAAGTTGCTAAACGAGTGTGTGTGTTTTGGTCGAATCGTATTACTTAAATTTTGGATATTTTCAGAAATGAAATGATCAGTAGACAGTGGATTGTGGTGTAAAATTTAAATGATACTCAAACCCTCCACTCTGAATAACTAGGGTATCAAATAAAACGGTTATATCTTCATATCTGCCTACAGTCTGATGAATTTCAATAAATCACATCGACATTGTATCATCGTAAGTCTACTGTTCTCATCTTAAAAGATTACTTCGTTTATTCTAGCCAGTAAATATTGTTTTTCTTCGATTGTTTGAATGCATTCTCAAACCTGTTGCGAAATGTGCAGTTGTAATTAAATGCTTACAACTGTTCACCTTAGCTGCTAGTGACAGACAGTTTTATGGGATTATCAACATATTTCACATTATAAAATTCCTTCTGCCATTAAAACTGTTTTACCTCACATTTGATAATATAAAACTTTGATCTTTGTTTATCATCTTGAAGTAAATATGCATTCATCAGCATTTGATCTTATTAGTTGAAATTTTTAGAATGCAACGGTTTTTTAAACTAAAACTTTTACACAACTTACATCATATTATTTGAAAAGTACACGTATACGTCTTCTTCTTTTCGCTATAATTTATTGCAATTTTTCTCTATGATAATCTCACGAAATAGATTCTCGACATCCACGCGTGATCAATATCAAATAATATATAGTTTATTACTTAACATCTGTAACTATTATAAAATTAATTCTAGTTTCAGATTGTTCTTCAATATATTTTTAGCAGATTGCATTGCATCGTCACCGATTTGATTGCGACTAAGATGAAGTTTGATGAGTGTCTGTATGAATGAATGAATGACTGAATAAAAGAATGAGAAGGTAAAGATATTACTTTGTTATGCTGTAGACCATTGGCAAGTTGTTCCATTCCTTGATTCTCGATTGCATTATCGTTAAGATTAAGTGTAGTGAGTATCTGTATAAAATAGTGAGTGAATGATAGAACGTGAAAATGACGAACATACTTCATTTTGTTTTAGCGTATTAGCAAGGTATTCTGCTCCTTGATCACCGATTTCATTTCGTTGAAGGAGAAGTGTGATTAGTGTCTGTGTGAAACAGTAATTAAATGAGAGTACGAAACAGTGAGAATATTACTTTATTTTTTTGTAGAGCATTGCCAATATGTTGTGCCCCTTCATTACCAATCTGATTGTCACTTAGGTCGAGTTTAGTGAGTGTCTGTATCCAAAGTTGATCGAATAATAGGGGAAGAGTGTAAGAATGATTACTTTGTTTTGTTGTAGAGCGTTCGCAAGATGTCTCGCCCCTTCGACACCGATTTGATTGAAACCGAGATAAAGTTTAGTGAGTGTCTGTATGAAATAATGATTAAATAATAGCATGCGATGATCAGGGTATTACTTCATTTTGTTGTAGAGCACTGGCAAGATATTTTGCTCCTTCGACACCAATTTCGTTTAGCTTGATGTCCAATATAACGAGTGTCTGTAAAAAGTGAGATGAAGGTGAGGATATAAGAGTGATGTTGTTACTTTGTTATGTTCTAGAGCATTAGCAAGATGTTGAATTCCTTGGTCACCGATTGCGTTGATGCGAAGATTAAGTGCAGTGAGTGTCTATATGAAATAATGAATGAATGATATATTGGAAAAGCGTGCATCTTACTTTATTTTGCTGTAGCGCATTGGCAAGATGTTCTGCTCCTTGCTGACCAATTTTATTTTCTTGAAGAACAAGTGTGATTAGCGCCTATGTGAAAACAGTGTTTAAATACGATGATGAACAACTGAAAATATTACTTCATTTGTTTTTAGAGAATTGGCTATATGTTGTGTACCTTCATCACCGATTTGATTGTCACCATGTTCAAGTTTGGTGAGTGTCTATATAAAAGAGACAGTGAATGATAGGATGAGAAAATAAGGATATTACTTTGTTTTGTTGAATAGCATTGGCAAGATGTTTTGCTCCTTCAACACCAATTTGATTGCCACCAAGGTAAAGTGTAGTGAGTGTCTATATAGAATAGAGACTGAATGATGGAGCGAGAAAGTGAGGATATTACTGTATTTTGTTGAAGAGCATTGGCAAGATGTTTTGCTCCTTCAACACCAATTTCATTATATTTGAGATCAAGTGTGGTGAGTGTCTATATAAAATGATAAGTGAATGGTAGCATGAGAAGGTATGGATGTTACTTTGTTGTGATGTAGAGCATTCGCCAGATGTTGAACTCCTTGATCACCGATTGCATTAATGCGGAGATTAAGTGTAGTGAGTGTCTGAATTAAATAGTGATTAAATAATAGCATGAGACGGTCAGGATATTACTTCATTTATCTGTAGAGCACTGGCAAGATGTTGTGCTTCTAGATTACTGATTTTATTGCCTGCGAGATCAAGTGTGATGAGTATCTGTGTGAAATAGTGATTGAACGATAGTATGAAAAACTGAATATGTTACTTTATTTTGTTGTAGAACGTTGGCAAGGTTTTGTACCTTCTTTTCATCAAGCGTTCGCCCGTTGAGATCAAATGCGGTGAGTGTCTGTTTTATACAGTAAGAAAAGTGAGATGATCTGAGAATTGCTGAATGGAATATGATGTTTTACGTGCGTGAGGCGATTGTATTTTTTACTTAATACAAAAAGTTTCTTTTCTATATCATCATTTTACTGATGTTTAACTGAAATATATACCCTCCTCAATCTCAAACATATCGATTACTGTTACTCAGTATTTCTAATGAACTAATAATTGAGAGTGTAAAAACAGTGCTAGTACTTCAATATCTAATCGATAGAAATTCTTTTAATAGTCGAAAATATGATGTGGTTTAACCGCTTTGGAATTGAAGCATCTTTTTGTATTTTGTAGGAATGAATGATATTTTAAAAACAATTTTACCTGATATCGGTGGTAAATGTCCATAACTGCATTAATCCGTTTAGAGACATTTCTCATTGAACATAACATAGTCAAATCGTCCATATTATCAAGAATTCGGTAGAGAAGTTCTATAGGTAATTTATGAAGAGATAGAATATTTTCATTCGACATTGATAAAAGTTGTTTTATGGTATGTAACGTAAAAAATATTTTCGTATCAAACGAGGTTATTTTCATCACATATCGTATAATTGTCATGGTTGAGCGATTATTTATGAGGAGAAAGAAAGAAATATAACTATATTTTATCTTGTCGTTGATATATTTCTATTGGTTACATTGTATACTATGGATTTAAAGAGTCTGGATAGTGTTCTTTCTTTTCTTCTTGAGTAAACTTCGAGTGAGATTGGACGAATCCCACACCCACACTACCGTGATCTTAATTTTAATCGACTATTTTGAAAATTTTAACAAAGACAGAGCTCGTGATTAATTAGAATGTCGAAAACTTTTCTTGAATCTATTCAAAATAAATAACGTTTCGCTTCTTTTTGTCGGTTACGATAAACTGAAATTATTTAGCATCCTCACGTACGGCCTCAAAAAAAGCGAACAGCAATTATTGCATCAGCAGAAATGGAAGAAATCAAGAAAAAAAGAAATAGCGTCCAACGTGGGGCTCGAACCCACGACATTGAGATTAAGAGT